TGGGTTTGGGGGCAGCAGGGACCGAGGGCAGCTGGGGAGAGGGGGCGTGGGGGCGGCTGCTGCCCGCTGGAGACCGTGTTTTTAGCACTTTGGTTGGTACTATCACCTGTAGACGCACTTTGATGTTGTTGCTTTGAAACTTTGCCGAGTGTAAACAATGTGTATTTAAAGAATTACAAAAAAAAAAAACAAAAAAAACCCAAAAAATAGGTGTGTAAAGAGCTATTTTATGAATTCGGTGTTTGAATAAAGACTCTTGAGATGGAGGTGGGATTTTCACTCTCCTGGGGGCGCCACACTGAGCCCAAGGCAGCAGCTCCAGCACCAAACCAGTCAGACCAGTGAGATCAGCATCCCTCCTCCCTCTCCCTGCAGGCTCAGGGTCTCCATTGGTCCAGCCCCGTGGGGTACAGGGGCAGTGTAGGGGGGGAAGCACTGGGCAGCACAAAACGGTGCCGGAGAGCTTAGAGGCTAGGGTGGGCAAACGGAGGGTTTACAGCCCAAAACAGGGATGAGAGAGACGTGACTCCAGTCCCCACCTCCTTTGGCAACAGAGGGGGCTGACCTTAAGCCTATCACAGAGGGACAAGTTTGAGTTTGAACATTTTTCTGCCAGTGCTCTGCTAAAAAAAGTTGATTTCTGAACAGCCTTGGAAACAAACAGCAATCAAACCCCCCCCAAAAGCAAACAGAAGGGAAAAGGGGATTAATTTTTGGTAGGGAAGATGGCACAGGGGGCTGGAGGACACCCCGTTGCCAGGTTACAACCCCGCAGAGCTGGGAATTAAAGATGTCCAGGTTGGAGAGTGTCACAGCAAGAGCTGGAGAGCGAGCTCCAACCCCCTCCAAGGCAGGCCGGGCTGGAGGGAGGTGGGATGACGCTGCCATGAGACAGGTGAAACACTGAGAGAGTTTTTAGAGGAAAGGGTTTCAGCACAACGGCTCACCCCCCCCCAAAAGGCTCCAGCCGAGACCAACAGCCACGAGGGTCACAGTCAGGGATGGGGCAGACGCCTCCGACGCGGCTCATAGCGGCCACGCTCGTCAACAGGGCGGAAGGAACACGGCTCGTGGTAGAACAGACCATCAACCCACCCAGCTGAGATCTCCAAGGGTTGGTATCCGATCTTTTCCCTGTCCTCCACGAGCACTTTCAACCCACCCACCTCAAGCCTCCTCAGGGGAATCCTCTTGCCAGAGACGCCACCAGCATCACGCTCCCTCCCTGCAGCGCTGCAGCCCCCCCCTCCCCTCCCAGCAGCCCCTCCAGAGATGTCGGACACCTCCCACAAAGGGACCATGTAAACGGCTCATTAAGCAAAAGCAATTAGAAACGGCCTTAAGTGGTAGGAGAGGAGAGGTAACGGGGGACTGGGAGGGCACTGGGAGTTGGTCCTTCTTCCCAGCACAGCGCCTGCTTTTAAACAGGGCAAAAAAACAGTTAGAAAGGGTCACCTTGTCCCCCTAACCCCGAGCTACCGCCCCGCAGAAGGAAGGGAGCTGCAAAGAGAGGAACACGCCCGTTTGCCACTGAAACGACCTCATCTTTTTATTGGGGGTTGAGGCTGGGTTCAAAACCCCCAGCAGAAAGGAAAAAAAAACACCAAACCAAACCCAACCCATCTATAAATAGGAACAAGCCCCACGGCCGCTGCCCGCCTGGCCAGCGCTGAAGGGGGCTCTGCTCAGCGGGGCTTCAAGGGGAAGGACGAGGCGAGCCCGAGGGGCTCAGCGCTGCGTTGGGGTAGGGCCTCTCGCAGGAGGTCGTCGCTGCCGAGGCCAAGATTTGACTCATTAAACCAGGCCAGTGGTTGCCCGTCAGCCCTCGAAAGGACCATCTGGTGAAGGGTCCGTTAATTCAGCTCGAAATCGATGCTGTCTCGCTTCGCCCGCTGGAGGGGAGCGTCAGCCGCTGC